TTGCTTTCGACATTGAAAGGGCGGGGCTTTGCTACAATAGCCTCCACCTAAGAGGGCAACACTACATTCAAGGCCCCAAGCAATGCTACAATTGCTTAGCGGTGGGCCATTTAGCCCATTCGTGCAAGGATAAAGCACTTTGCTCCTGCTGTGGCGGAAACCACAACTCGGCTACCTGCGAGGACATGGAAGACTCCAGCAGAAGCTGTCAGAGATGCCTAGCGGTAGACCGAAAGGCTAAGTTACCTATAGATCTCACTAACCCCAAATATGATCACTCTCCTTTTAACAGCGCCTGCCAGGTACGTGCCAAGGAACTCGAAAACTTGGAGAAGACCAAAAATTCAAACGCCCGCCCATGAATAATACAGCCAATGACACTCATACCTCAGACTCCCAAACTTACACCCCCCTCTACTTAGATACCTGCTCTCCTTCCCTTCCGCCGCGAACTAATTTCCCCTCAAATAGCCACTCTTCCACATCCCTTTCCTTTTTACAGCTCAACTGTCATAACCGGAAAGACACCACCCTCAGTACCCTCTGCTCAGAAGACCAGCACATGGCCTTGCTATTGCAGGAGCCGTGGACCAATCCGGTCGATCACCTCCCTCCCATTCATCCGGGCTGGCACCGGATAACTCCCATTGACTGTCCAGACAAAGCGGAACTCAAACCGCGGTGCTGTATATACATCAACAGAACCACCCCTACCCACCATTTTTTCAAACTCCCTGAAAATTCCCCTAACCTGACCGCAGTCTCCCTTACCCTACAAACGACTCCCCCCCTTTCTTTTCATCTACTGTCAATCTACAACCCTCCTACGACCTTTCCCACAATTCCTGAATTAGCTCGATGGATTGATTCCCACTCCTCGAGAAGCATTCCCACCGTCCTGATGATGGACTCGAACTTACACCATATGCTATGGAACCCCCCGGGGTATCACCACACTCACTCGGCTGCCAAGGACCTGATCAAACTTTGCGGTAGAAAAGGTTTCCATCTGGCATCTCCCAAAGGTATCCCCACGTTCCTAGGTGCCCGAGGTTCACAAACCACCATTGACCTGTGTTGGGTCAACCATAAATGCAAATCCCTGGTAACATCGTGCTCGGTGGCGTTGAACAATCACGCCTCCGACCATCAACCCATCCACTTGCATCTATCCACTCAAGGGGAAAGACAAATCCCAACCCAGCCCAGAGGCATCGCGGTGGATAGAATGGATCTTTCTTTGTTCTCTAAGGATCTCTCTTCTATGATTGCCCGCTTACCTGCTACTAACAGCTCAATGTCTGCCAAGGACATAGATCAGACAGTCTCCAATCTTACCAAAGGCATCCAAGAATGCCATTTGAAACAGGGGAAACCCACCTGGAGAGGCTCCAACAGGGCCAAGTCATGGTGGGACCCAGAAATCCTTGACCCTCTTGTTTCCAATAGGAATAGAGCTCGCCGCTGGATGCTCTTGGACAACTCGGTAGAGGCACGGGAGTGCTATTATGCGTGGCAAAAAGCCTTCAAAGAAAAGGTAGAAGAACTAAAACTCCATCACTGGCGCAGGTTCCTGGCAAGAACAGGGGATGCGTCCGCTTTCCAAGCGTACAAGTTCACCAAGGCAAAGTTGACTAACACCGTCGAACCTCTCTTTAAAGCTGATAAAACCTTGTCCACTGACATAATAGAACAGGCCGAGATTCTATTCCAGGGCACTTCAGTAATCAACACAGAATGTGACCTATCGGACACAGTGAATGTTCCCATCGACGTTACAGGGACCTTCCCTCCAGTCACGGAGGAGGAGGTCGTCCGCGCTATCAATTCCTTGCCTCCCAAGAAAGCCACAGGTCCAGATGCTATCCCAAACGAGTTCCTCAAGGCCGGCAGACACCAGCTTGGCCCCTTTCTTGCACCTTTATTCTCTTCCTGTCTTCGGACCTGCCACTTCCCCAAGCTATGGCGTACAGCAATCACTGCCATCATCCGCAAAGCTGATAAATCTGACTATCGGGATCCAAACGCGTATCGGCCCATAGCTCTGCTTTGCACTTTGGGAAAATTGTTTGAAAAGGTTCTAAATGAGCGACTAATTCATTGGATGGAAACTAACAATATCCTTCCGCCCAGCCACATGGGTGGTAGAAGGGGCAGAAATATCACTGACGCTTTAATTTTATTCACCGCCTGGGTTAAGAACCAATGGCGTGGGAAAAAAGTAGTAGCAGGCCTCTTTTTGGATGTCAAGTCCGCTTACCCTACAGTCTACAGGGACCGACTTTGCAGCCGCCTGACAGAGCTTGGGTGTCCGGTATACTTGACTTCCATCATTTATTCCTTTCTTTCCGACAGGTCCACATCGATGAGGCTGGGGGATTACACGTCCCCACTTTTCAACATCCCCAAAGGCCTCCCTCAAGGTTCGCCGCTGTCAGTCACCCTTTACATTTTGTACAATAGCAGCCTTTTAGTCCAGAACTCGGCATCCCTCTCGGACGATAAAATCTCAATAGGATATGTCGACGACGTGGTTCACCTTGTTGCTGCCCCCTCTGTGGACAGGGCTATGTCCATGCTGCAGGAGGAGGCAAACAGATCTTTGATCTGGGGCCGAAAGTATGGAGCCATCTTTGATAGAAAGAAAGCCGTCTTTATGGGATTCTCCCCCAAGCCGCTCAGTTTTCCGACCTTTAACTTTGACGGGCATATCCACCATTTCCAACCCTCAGCCCGCTGGCTAGGAGTAATCCTTGACAGTCGACTTACCTTTACTGACCACATTCAAAAAGTTAAGAAAACAGGAGAACTGACTCTTTTACAGCTTGGAAGGATCATTAAAACCACCTACGGCTTGAATCTCCAACTAGCACGAAGGCTAGTTAGCGCGGTGTTGTACCCGCGGGTTCTGTTCGGCAGCTTGATATGGTTCACAGCAAGAAACAGGAAAACGGTTTCTCAAATTTTAGACGGCTTTTTCTTCAGGGCCAGTAGGCTGGTGACAGGATTGTTCAAACAAACCCCCCTTCCCTTTGTTAAACTTAGCAGTGGTTTAAAATCACTGGTGGATACTCACACAAAGCTCTCCCTATCTTATCTCCTGAAAGGACTGACCAGATTGCCCCCCCACCCGGTGGCAACCTTCCTCAAGAAGGAGCTTACTGAACCTAAACCTTCTTTCCCCGGCCCACTACACTTATTCACAGGTCTAGACGAGTTGCAGGAGTTCCTTGATTGGAAACTGGAGACAATCCAGGTATCTAAGGTCCCTCCATGGACGGATCCAATTGCGAAGATCCAAAACCTTGATGTCCCTAAAGAGAGGGCCATAGAACTGGTGCACCGACAAATAGCCAAGGAAGAAGCGGACGACTCGCTGCTAATTTTCACAGACGGTTCATGGATCCCAGAGGGTGGAGCGGGGGCGGCCGCTGTTGCCCACAATTTCCCTATCTCTGACTCAGTTAGAATCCCCAATCACCAAAGGATCTCAAACTTTGAGGCCGAACTAATAGGTATAAAGCTAGCCATCCGACTAATCAAACGGGTAATTTGGTCCGCCTGCCCAGGAAAATTCAAGACTGCTGCCATCTTTTCTGACAATCAAGGGGCCCTGATCCGGACAGCTGACCCAACTCAACCTTCCTCAGGGCAACACTTATACGCTGATAACTTCTCCTCCCTTTGCTCATTAGGCATTCCAGTAACACTATACTGGTGTCCCGGCCATGAAGGTATAGAGGCCAACGAACAAGCGGACAAATTAGCCAAAACAGCGGCTCTTCTTCCAGAGGGAGACCAATCGCATATGACACTACCCGGCCCGACCTTAGCTAGCCTTCCCAAGCTCAAACAAAGCTTTAGCCACATGTGGAACAGAGGTATCACGCTTACAGCGGACGAAAGAAAACGGTTTGGTTTCAGACCAGACACGCGACCCATTGTCTCCGCTTTAGACGAACAGGAGAAAGGCCTTACTGCAACCATCCTCCAACTTAGGGCGGACTATGCACCGTTGAACCATTTCTTATTCAAGATAAAACAAGTCCTTGATCCACGATGTACTTACTGCTTTGAGAGGGAATCAGCACCCCACTTCCTCATGTTTTGCAAAAAATACAGGTCGATCAGGAGAATCCTGAAACAACGGCTCAAGAAGAAGAAAGTTAGTGTCAATGTAGACTCCTTCCGAGCCATAATGGACAACCCTAAGGCACTCCAAGAGGTGGCGGCTTTTATCTTAGCTTCACATCGGTTCCCAAACATCTCGACATATGGAAAATCAGTAAAGAACACGGAGGAATGACGGCTCTTTGGTGGACGAACGCTCTTTCTCTTTTCCCTTCAATAGTTTCCTTTCTCCTTCCAGTCACCTTCACCCATCTCAGTTTCACTTTTATCTATCTCTTTCATGAATGCCTTCCTCTTCACTCTTCTCTGTCCTGAATTTCTCTCCTGTATGTACATGCGTAAGAGCTAGAGGCATCTCTGCCGAACCCTTGAAGACCGCAGCGACACTATCATTACAGGGGGAGTAATGGTAGTGCAACGCTTCGCTTTCCAGCAGAAGTGTGGGCTACTTCGATGCTGAAAGACAATCTCTCTGGTGGGATAGGGCTAGGTAGGGGTGCCTCGAACTCCGACGCTAGTTTCTAAATACATCCTCCTCACAGTTTTCTTTATCTATTCCCTGCTTAGGTTTATTCCTTTCTGAGGTCTCCGTCTCCTTTTAATTTTCTTATTTCTTGCCATATATTTTCTCTCTACATTTTTCTTCCTATCTTTTTCATTCACTTCTCTTTCCTTTTCTTCTCTCTTCTTTCATACACATAATATTTGGTCGGAACAAATCTAGGTAGCCAGGCAAAATACGGTGCGGCGTAGAATATGTACATACAGAATGCGGTTGTATTTAGACTCCCTCCATAGATTATAGTGCGGTATGTGAAATCAATAGCACTTTAATAAAAAAAAAAAAAAAAAAAAAAAAAAAAAAAAAAAAAAAAAAAAAAAAAGACTACGAGGGAGATTCACAGGGAGAGTCGGATGACGTCATCCTGCTATCTGGCACCCAACTTAATTGCAGATTAGTCGATGGTTGGCCGGATGCTATGCTTCCGCTCCGAGTCCATTCCCATTCCCAACTCAACATCTTCAACAAACTAACATCAACAAGAACACTCAGCCATCGTTTCACAAACAGTTTCCGATCCACCAGGTCCTACCATCAACCCCACGACCATCTGCTCGACATGAACCAAGAGGAGAACATTCTGCCCCCGCCGATCGACACCGGCAAACGATTGGAGGGAGTCAAGCAGTTGATGAAAACCAATCAGGTCTCCATCTACGTCGTCCCAACTGAGGATGCTCACGGAAGTGAATATATCTGTCCAGCCGATGCCAGACGAGAATACATCACCGGATTCACCGGCTCCGCCGGAACAGCCTTGATCTTACTCAATCAACCCCAGAGTCTGCTCTTCACCGATGGAAGATACTTCAATCAAGCCTCCAAGCAACTTCATCCTTCCTACTGGACTTTAATGAAACAGGGGCTTGAAGGCGTGCCCACCTGGCAAGAATATCTCATCAAGGCTGCTGCTGATCATCTCGACAACACTGAGGCTCAGAATTCAACCGGCTTACGAATCGGAATCGATCCTACTCTGTTCAGCGTCAAGGACTCTCACGATCTATCTGCGAAGCTACAAGAACATTCAGCTCAGCTTGTCAGCCTGAAAGACAATTTGATCGACATCGAATGGGCCTCTTCAAGATCAGAGAGACCGCACAATCCAATCAGGATCTTAGAGCTCAAGTATTCCGGCCAATCGACCTCAGAAAAATTAGAAAAAATTTGGGATAGATTGAAATCATTGAACGAATCGAGGCGAAACTTGATCGGGATCGTGGTTAGCGCGTTAGATGAAATCGCTTGGTGTTTGAATCTACGAGGAAGCGATATCGTATATAATCCAGTATTCTTCTCTTACCTGTGGATAGGTATTCAAGATCAAGTCATTCTATTTGTCAACGAACATCAACTCGATTCGACTCTCAGCCAGTATCTACGAGAAAACCATATCGAAACTAGACCGTATGATTCGATCTGGAACTTTTTACAAGAGTTTCACGACAGCAAATTGAACCCTTCAAGTCCATCCGCGATCCCTCATGGAAAGGTACTCATCTCACCGACTACCTCTCTAGCAATCGAAAACCATCTAGGCGGAGAATCCAAGACGGTCCAATTGAGATCGCCGCTCCAAGACCTGAAAGCGATCAAGAACCCGACAGAAATCGAAGGATTCAGGAATGCCCATCTGCGTGATGGAGTTGCTCTAGTCACCTACTTCGCCTGGCTCGAAGAGACCCTCTTAGCTCCCGGTGCGAGGCCTTTGAACGAATATGATGCGGCCCTCGAGTTGGAACGCTTCAGGAAACAGTTGGGGGGCGATTTTTTCCAAGGTCTCAGCTTCGATACAATCTCTAGCTCCGGTAAAAACGCCGCTATTATTCATTACGGCCCTCCTGAAACTGGTTCGGCTATCATCGACAAAGATCAAATTTATCTATGCGATTCAGGCGCTCAATACCTTGATGGTACGACCGACGTCACTCGAACCTGGGTACGTTTCCACTCTCACAGCTTGGTTACTTGGAATCTTTCGCCCTCAACCAATGTGCAATACATTGATTCGAGTAAACCTTTTCGTTTTCTTCTCAAAAAAGCACTTTGGAGCTCCCACAGCCGAGGAAAAAAGGGCATGCACGCGTGTCTTACAAGGCCACATCAACATTGATCAGATGATTTTCCCAGAGAAAACCACAGGATATCAACTGGATCCATTTGCAAGACAATATCTCTGGCTCGATGGGCTTGATTATCGACATGGTACTGGGCATGGTGTGGGCCACTTCTTGAACGTACACGAGGGACCACAGGGGATTGGGACTCGACCGCAATGTGATCAAGTTAGCTTGAAGGCTGGAATGACTCTATCTAATGGTCTGTCACCCTCTGTTTCCTTTTTACATAATCAACCATGATGTGTTAAAGCTTTGTTTTTCCCGGTTTGTTATGATCTGTTGTTTAGAACCCGGTTACTATAAAGATGAAGGCTTTGGTATACGGATTGAATCGGTCGTCGTTGTCAAAGAAATCAAACGTCTTAGTCCTGAACCTCCCAACGAAAACAACGCCAAGCCGTTCTTGGGGTTCGAGAATTTGACGATGTGTCCGATCCAAACCAAGCTTTTGGATCTTAGTTTATTGAATCAGAATCAGGTTGAATGGATCAATTCTTACCATCAGCTTGGTATGTCTCTTTATCTCATTTTTTCAAAAAAATAAATTTGGGGTTGACTTCCTTTTTCTTCCCTCGACCTGCGGGCGTTGGGCTTCAATCATACGCACAGTTTTAGATAAATTGAGTCCCCGTTTAACTCACGATTCGAGGGCATTAAACTGGCTGAAGAAAGAATGTCAACCGATCCCAACCAACTAGACAATCACCTAATTTGCTTTGGGGGGAGGGGGCGCTTTGTTTTTCTTATAATCCAATTTGGAAAGTGTAAATTCTTTATAAAACAAGCATTTTTTTCCCTCTATCTAATAGAAAGCACTCCCTGAGAATAATCAAGTCGTTTGGTCAATGCCCTGTGTTGGATAAGCTTTTCTTTTCTTCCTTTTTTGCATCATTATTGGGACATGTATCTTTCTTTTGATGAAAAAAATCAAGTTCACTGATAATCTGATTTGTTTTGAAATATATTGATCCATGGTTGAGTTATACATACATGTCTGGTAGAAGTGAACATGTAGGATTTGCAGCACAAACTTTGATTAGATCTCTCTTGCAGTTAAATTGAATAGTATTAGAATTCTGCTTTTGTTGATATGCATTAATCTGATGGAGACTTGCTGTAACCTACAAGCAAGCAAAACATTCTAAATTTCAATCCTTGGAAGTTTCAATCAACAGTTACAATGAACGGTTCGAGCCTGGCAATGTCACACCCAGTGGATGTTGACCTTGAGGCTGGACAACAACAGTGAACAAAGTCATATCAGCTACATATTGACCTGGAGGGTGGAATTTCAAAGAAGTGAGGATCAGCCCTGGAGGTCAAATAATGCAAGACAGATACACCATGGGGCGGGTTTTTAGAAAAACCTCCTAGCAAACGGATGGATTCCGTCTCGAGCGCCCGAAACTTGGTTGCGAAGCATCCAACGGACGCTTGGGCGGCTCGGGGCATCGTTTGGACGCTTCAGAAAGCGTCCAAGGGATGCTCGGCAGGCGAGACCATCCAGAGGATGGTGTACAGCCTGGTGTCCATCGGACACTTGATTGGGAGTGTCCGATGGACAACAAGAAAACCATCAATCGGACACTTCTCAGAGTGTCCGATTGATGGTTTTCACCCGGGTCAGGCAGTGGAAAAAAAAGGGTCGATTGTCGAAAAATGATCTCAAAAGGTGTTTGCGTGTCGCCGCGGATGTAACCGTCACCTTGACGAATCCGCGTGCGTGACTGCGGCAGTAGGCGCAGTGACTGCGCACGAAACCCCCAATGAAACCCCCAGATGTCGCTCCGCACGGGAGGGACATGCAATTGTCCGTGGTGTAATTGCCCGTAGTGCGAGTGGCAAGGTACTGCCTCTGTGAAGTCACTGGTGGCAGCACCTGTAGGTCATGGGTTCAAACCCAATGCCTGGCATTTTTTGGCCCCAAGGGCTTCTAATCCTACCATCCAATGGATGGTTTGGCCCTACCATCCGGGTTCAGCAATATGCAAGTCGCATCCAACGGATGCTCCTTGCAGGGCCAAGGTCGGATGGCATCTGGTACATCCGATTGGGTGTCCAAATGCCATCCACCACGCCCGGTGGTGTACATGGTACTGTTTTGACTGTCAAAACCAGAGCATTCATTTTGGTGGGACTGGCATCCATTTGGATAGCTTCCAGTTTGGGCTCTGCTGCTGGAATCAACACTGGGTTGCTACTTTACGCTG